TGAAATCACATTGCAAAAGACAAATGTTTCACATTGAGGTCAGAGCGATACTGCGGGCTTCAGCTTTGCTGGGTCTGCTTGCCAATACAGTTGATCTTTCAAACTTGCAACAGAAAGCACGCCGCATCAAACTCAGCCTATTATATCCTATTTGCATCTATTCGTCTTGAAGACCAGTCTCCTGACCAACTGAATGCCCACTGAAACCCTCCCTAAAAAGGAATCATGATACAAAATAGATACCTTCTACAAGCGGTTTGAAAATACCACAACCATAGAGCACATGGTCGGAAAGGTTCCTCTCCCAACTGCTCAAATTCTGCCCACCCCTGTTAGTTTTGGCCCTGTCACATGTGGCAGAAAGCAAACTCTTGGAGTTGCTCCAGCAGGAAGATTTTTGACCCCAAACGAGACTCGGAACCAGGCCAACAATTTCATACATAAATCATCGTTCAGAATCATTCATATTCATCACCAAATCTCCAGAATTGAGACGAATTGGGACCACGGCTTTGAGGATTGACAAAAAGCTTCCCACAAATTGCAATACCTGGTGAAGATCTTCAACACCAGAAGGCAAAAACAGAGAAAGTGCATGGTGTCAAGGAGGTTCCTGTGTAGGTGGCAGCCATTGAATCGGAGAACAATGCTCTGTGATTCGTTGGATCTGTGATCCCTTTGGTGATCCCTTTGGGAATTCTCGGAATTCTCTGGAAATTCCCCCCTCCTCGGAACCTCCTTGTGCCATTCTCTAGCCAGACATAGCCAGACTGACTGGCGAATTACACGTGCGGCAGCTGCATACGCTCAGTCAACCTCAACAGCACAGTTCGTGAGGCCCGAGTTGTTCCAACCTGTGCTTGCGAGCCACTTGACGTAATTTCAATGGGGATAAAATTGATTTCAAATTCTCAGACAAATACTTTTCTTCCCTAGAGGAGGATATGGGGGCATCTGGGTGATGCTCAGCACCTCTCATCTTGATAAAAAGACCGACGGCACGTTCATCTGCTAGTGCAAATATACATGTCACACTTTGGCACACTTCGGTTGCCACCGGGACACTGCCAGCTGCTGTTGGCAAGCCTGATCGGGGAAATGGGCCATGTTGCCTATATCATTCTATATGTGTCTATTCAGGTCGTCATGTCCTTCGGGTTCCCCATCCTTCTGGGATAAAGACAGGAGACCTCTCAAAGAAACTGCTGCGCTGCAGTAACACTAAAATATCTCACCCGGATCATCCACGTATGGTCCGTATGGTGTATCTATTGACAGACGTTGACCCAAAACTCCCCATGTATGTAAAGAAAGCAGCAAAATGGGAGTCACGGCCAATACTGTCTGTGAAATCTGGTCTTGTTGGTTCACGACCCAGCCTGGCATTGGGAGCATCTGACTCCAGCACGGCATCACTGCCTTTTAGCGCTCCTGGCAAGCTGAGAGACGGATCAAAAAAGAATGATAGCAATACATAGACTTTGTTGATGGGTGAGATACAACTGATGTTTCATCTGGAACAATTTGTTTGATCAGGCAACGAGGGGATCGAAATACTCTAGATTGACACTTGAAGGTATCAAAAAAAATAATCCTGGCTTTGGGGGCTAATAGCCTTCCTCACACCCCCAAAAAACAACGCCATTAGGATCGGGCACTGGCTTAGAAGACATGTGTTGCGCTCAAATAGAGGTTTCATGCTGGACACTTCTGGTACCCGTATCTTTCATGCCAACCCAGCTTTTCAGCCGAGCTTCATGCTGGCGCTGCTGTTCCCACAACAACTGGTGGGGCGCCCTGCTTCACCGTCGGGTCATCAAGCTTGGCTTTGCAGCACTGGCAGCAAACGCAGCAAGCCAGGCTAACTCCCACAACGCCCAGGACACAGGCTGCCCAACCGAACACCACCAAGTAGACGAAGATGATGCCAAGTGTTTGGCAAGCACTGGCCCAGATCTGAGATGCAGCTACCAGTCTTATTGAAGTCTTCAGCTTTGAATCAATGCCTAGTGTCCCATTGCTGCAATACATTTCAATACTGTTTCCTGGCTGCCTACAATCAAGAGTTGCACTGTTACATGCTGCATCCGCTCCCTGCTACCTTCATGTCACGAAAGTTTCGGTACACTTTGAGCACCAAGTCTGAGGTTTGCCAGTGCTTTTCCGAAATGCCTTCACCCCAATTCTCTCCCAGAGGTCCCCACAGAAAAGGTGACAAGACACCTTCTTTTCCTCATCTGTGCACGGAGTGCAAGCATCGTTGCATGCTGCATCCACGAAGGGCACGCACGAGCCCAGTGCTCCAAATAGCGGAATGACCAAAGCCAGCACTCCTAGAACGATGCCAATGGCACCCAGCACCTACGCGGCTGGCGGCTGATTCGAAATCAAAACAAGTTGCCTCTCAAGCATCTTACACAAGTGCAGCCACGCAATCATCAAAACCAGGACCTACGGTCCGACCCACGAGGTAGCCCCAGAAATCTTGCCCGCCTTCCCGTACTGCTTCAAAGACACCACAGCACAAAGGCAGAGACATCAGGACGATCACCAGGATTCCCACTACCATACCGCCAATAGAACCTCCCCACAGCGATGCAGCATACGCATCCTCGCTACAGACATGGATGGAGCGGCCCCGACATGGAAAGTGCGACTATGTAACTCAAACCGACTCAAACCCAAGTTGCCCATGACGAATCTTTCCTGGGGCCCAAAAGGGGGCTCTGTCGTTAATGAAATCAGTCGTCACCCAGTTCTGGAACATCAAGCTGGAAAGTGCAAGTTCCTACAGACGTAGACGTGCACTCTTGCAGTTAAAGGAGCTTGGATCACCCAAATGCGACCCCAATCTAGGATCATCTAGGCTGTGGGATACGGACTGGGGCACCGGGGCACATCCTACTGCAAGCGACTGCAAGTATCCTACTATCTGACATTCTGGAATTCGGGTTAGTCGGGTTGCCTGATCGAAACCGTTCACATCTTGGCACGCCAATGCAAAAGCGACGCTGCTTGCAACCATCAAAGAGCGCATTGCAGCCATGTCGACCTTGGCCCACCAATATCAAGGCAAGTTGCCCCAGGCATCTCAGAGTTGAAATCACATTGCAAAAGACAAATGTTTCACATTGAGGTCAGAGCGATACTGCGGGCTTCAGCTTTGCTGGGTCTGCTTGCCAGTACAGTTGATCTTTCAAACTTGCAACAGAAAGCACGCCGCATCAAACTCAGCCTATTATATCCTATTTGCATCTATTCGTCTTGAAGACCAGTCTCCTGACCAACTGAATGCCCACTGAAACCCTCCCTAAAAAGGAATCATGATACAAAATAGATACCTTCTACAAGCGGTTTGAAAATACCACAACCATAGAGCACATGGTCGGCAAGGTTCCTCTCCCAACTGCTCAAATTCTGCCCACCCCTGTTAATTTTGGCCCTGTCACATGTGGCAGAAAGCAAACTCTTGGAGTTGCTCCAGCAGGAAGATTTTTGACCCCAAACGAGACTCGGAACCAGGCCAACAATTTCATACATAAATCATCGTTCAGAATCATTCATATTCATCACCAAATCTCCAGAATTGAGACGAATTGGGACCACGGCTTTGAGGATTGACAAAAAGCTTCCCACAAATTGCAATACCTGGTGAAGATCTTCAACACCAGAAGGCAAAAACAGAGAAATTGCATGGTGTCAAGGAGGTTCCTGTGTAGGTGGCAGCCATTGAATCGGAGAACAATGCTCTGTGATTCGCTGGAACTGTGATCCCTTTGGTGATCCCTTTAGGAATTCTCGGAATTCTCTGGAAATCCCCCCTCCTGGGAACCTACTTGTGCCATTCTCTAGCCAGACATAGCCAGACTGACTGGCGAATTACACGTGCGGCAGCTGCATACGCTCAGTCAACCTCAACAGCACAGTTCGTGAGGCCCGAGTTGTTCCAACCTGTGCTTGCGAGCCACTTGACGCAATTTCAATGGGGATAAAATTGATTTAAAATTCTCAGACCAGTACTTTTCTTCCCTGGGTGATGCTCCGCACCTCTCATCTTGATACAAAGACCGACGGCACGTTCATCTGCTAGTGCAAATATAAATACATGTCACACTTTGGCTCACTTCGGTTGCCACCGGGACACTGCCAGCTGCTGTCGACAAGCCTGATCGAGGAAATGGGCCATGTTGTCTTTATCATTCTATATATGTCTATTCAGGTCGTCATGTCCTTCGGGTTCCCCATCCTTCTGGGATAAAGACAGGAGACCTCTCAAAGAAACTGCGCTGCGCTGCAGTAACACTCAAATATCTCACCCGGATCATCCACGTATGGTCCGTATGGTGTATCTATTGACAAACGTTGACCCAAAACTCCCCATGTATGTAAAGAAAGCAGCAAAAAGGGAGTCACGGGCAACACTGTCTGTGAATTCTGGTCTTGCTGGTTAACGACCCAGCCTGGCATTGGGAGCATCTGACTCCAGCATGGCGTCACTGCCTTTTAGCGCTCCTGGCAAGCTGAGAGGCGGATCAAAAAAGAACGACAGCAATACATAGACTTCGTTGGTGGGTTAGATACAACATGTTTTTGATCTGGAACAATTTATATGATCAGGCAACCAGGTGATCGAAATACTCTAGATTGACACTTGAAGGCTTCAAGGTATCAAAAAAATATTCCATACAGGGAAATACAGAGAATGACTATATTGTCCTGGCTTTGGTCCTCACACCCCCAGAAGAACAACGCCAACATGTTGCAACCCCAAGCCACTATCCTCCTATCTTCAAGTCCCAACTATCCTGGATTCAGGGGTAAAGAACGTTTCACGCTGGACACTTCTGGTACCCGTATCTTTCATGCCAACCCAGCTTTTCAGCCGAGCTTCATGCTGGCGCTGCTGTTCCCACAACAACTGGTGGGGCGCCCTGCTTCACCGCTGGGTCATCAAGCTTGGCTTTGCAGCACTGGCAGCAAACGCAGCAAGCCAGGCTGGCTCCCACAATGCCCAGGACACAAGCTGCCCAACCGAACACCACCAAGTAGACGAAGATGATGCCAAGCGTTTGGCAAGCACTGGCCCAGATCTGAGATTCAGTTACCAGATGTTACCAGTCTTCAAGTCTTCAGTCTTGAATGAATACCTACTGGCCCATTGCGTGGATACATTCCGTCGAATACATTACGCACTGCATCCGCTACCTCCTACCTTCATGTCACGAAAGTTTCGGTACACTCTGAGCACCAAGCCTGAGGTTTGCCAGTGCTTTTCCGAAATGCCTTCACCCCAATTCTCTCCCAGAGGTCGCAAAGAAAAGGTGACAAGACACCTTCTTTTCCTCATCTGTGCACGGAGTGCAAGCATCGTTGCATGCTGCATCCACGAAGGGCACGCACGAGCCCAGTGCTCCAAATAGCGGAATGACCAAAGCCAGCACTCCCAGAACGATGCCAATGGCACCCAGCACCTACGCGGCTGGCGGCTGATTCGAAATCAAAACAAGTTGCCTCTCAAGCATCTTACACAAGTGCAGCCACGCAATCATCAAAACCAGGTGACACCTACGGTCCCACCCACGAGAGAAATCTTGCCCGCCTTGCCGTACTGCTTCAAGACACCACAGCACAAAGGCAGAGACATCAGGACGATCACCAGGATTCCCACTACCATACCGCCGATGGAACCTCCCCACAGCGATGCAGCATACGCATCCTCGCTACAGACATTGATGGAGCCGACATGGAAAGTGCGACTATGTAACTCAAACCGACTCAAACTCAAGTTGCCTAGGACGAATCTTTCCTGGGGCCCAAAAGGGGGCTCTGTCGTTAATGAAATCAGTCGTCACCCAGTTCTGGAACATCAAGCTGGAAAGTGCAAGTTTCTACAGACATGCACTCTTGCAGTTAAAGGAGCTTAGATCACCCAAATGCGACCCCCCATCTACGATCATCTAGGCCGTGGGATGCGGACTGGGGCACTGGGGCACATCCTACTGCAAGCAACTGCAAGTATCCTACTATCTGACATCACATCTGGAAGTCGGGTTGCCTGATCGAAACCGTTCACATCTTGGCACGCCAATGCAAAAGCGACGCTGCTTGCAACCATCAAAGAGCGCATTGCAGCCATGTCGACCTTGGTCCACCAACATCAAGCAAGTTGCCCCAGGCATCTCAGAGTTGAAATCACATTGCAAAAGACCAATGTTTCACATTGAGGTCAGAGCGATACTGCGGGCTTCAGCTTTGCTGGGTCTGCTTGCCAATACAGTTGATCTTTCAAACTTGCAACAGAAAGCACGCCGCATCAAACTCAGCCTATTATATCCTATTTGCATCTATTCGTCTTGAAGACCAGTCTCCTGACCAACTGAATGCCCACTGAAACCCTCCCTAAAAAGGAATCATGATACAAAATAGATACCTTCTACAAGCGGTTTGAAAATACCACAACCATAGAGCACATGGTCGGCAAGGTTCCTCTCCCAACTGCTCAAATTCTGCCCACCCCTGTTAATTTTGGCCCTCTAATATTGGAAAAAAGCAAACTCTTGGAGTTGCTGCAGCAGGAAGCTTTTTGTGCGCAAACGAAACTTGGAACCAGGCCAACAATTTCATACATAAATCATCGTTCAGAATCATTCATATTCACCACCAAATCTCCAGAATTGAGACGAATTGGGACCACGGCTTTGAGGAACGACAAAAAGCTTCCCACAAATTGCAGTACCTGGTGAAGATCTTCAACACCAGAAGGCAAAAACAGAGAAAGTGCATGGTGTCAAGGAGGTTCCTGTGTAGGTGGCAGCCATTGAATCGGAGAACAATGCTCCGTGATTCGTTTGATCTGTGATCCCTTTGGTGATCCCTTTGGGAATTCACAGAATTCTCTGGAAATCCCCCCTCCTGGGAACCTCCTGTGTGTGCCAAGCTCTAGCCAGACTGACTGGCAAAGTACAACTGCAGCAGCTGCAGACGGCTCAGTTAACCTCAACAGCACAGTTCTTGAGGCCCGAGTTGTTCCAACCTGTGCTTGCGTGCCACTTGACGTAATTTCAATGGGTACAAGATTGGCCTTAGTTGTCTCGTCTGCCCGGAAAACACAGATCTTATACACAGAACATGTCGAAATTGGGTTTCGTTTCTGGAGGAGGATATGGGGACATTGACCCAAAACTCACCATTCATGAATGTAAAGAAAGCAGCAACATGGGAGTCACGGCCAATACTGTCTATGAATTCTGGTTTTGTTGGTTCACGACCCAGCCTGGCAATGGGAGCATTCGACTCCAGCACGGCGTCACTGCCTTTTAGCGCTCCTCCTGGCAAGCTGAGAGACGGATCAAAAAAGAATGATAGCAATACATTGACTTTGTTGGTGGGTTAGATACAACTGATGTTTCATCTCGAAATACTCTAGATTGACACTTGAAGGTATCACAACAAAATATCATCCTGGCTTCTGGGGCTAATAGCCTTCCTCACACCCCCAAAAAACAATACCATCAGGATCGGGTACTGGCTTAGAAGACATGTGTTGCGCTCAAATAGAGGTTTCATGCTGGACACTTCTGGTACCCGTATCTTTCATGCCAACCCAGCTTTTCAGCCGAGCTTCATGCTTGCGCTGCTGTTCCCACAACAACTGGTGGGGCGCCCTGCTTCACCGCCGGGTCATCAAGCTTGGCATAGCAGCACTGGGAGCAAACGCAGCAAGCCAGGCTGGCTCCCACAATGCCCAGGACAACGGCTGTCCAAATGGACACCACAAAGAAGATACGGAAGAAGAAGCCAAGATATTCACAAGAGCTGACCCAGATCTGAGATGCAGCTACCAGTCTTCAAGTCTTCAGTTTTGAATGAATACCTACTGGCCCATTGCGTGGATACATTTCGTTGAATACATTACGTACTGCATCTGCTACCTGCTACCTTCATGTCACGAAAGTTTCGGTACACTCTGAGCACCAAGCCTGAGGTTTGCCAATGCCATTCCCGAAATGCCTTCACCCCAATTCTCTCCCAGAAGTCCCCACAGAAAAGGTGACAAGACACCTTCTTTTCCTCATCTGTGCATGGAGTGCAAGCATCGTTGCATGCTGCATCCACGAAGGGCGCGCACGAGACCAGTGCTCCAAAGAGCGGAAAGAACATAGCCAGCACCCCCAGAACGATGCTAATGGCAGCAAGCACCTATGCGGCTCACAGCTGATTCAAGGTCAAAACAAGTTGCCTCTCAAGCATCTTTCACAAGTGCAGCCACGCAATCATCAAAACCAGGTGACACCTACGGTCCCACCCACGAGAGAAATCTTGCCCGCCTTCCCATGCTGCTTCAAGACACCACGGCACAAAGGCAGTGACGTCAGGACGATCGCCAGGATTCCCACTGCCAAACCGCCAATGGAAACGCCCCACATCGATCGCATATACGCATCCTTGCTAATTACTATAGACATGGATGGAGCGGCCCCGACATGGAAAGTGCGAGACTATGCAACTCAAACCGACTCAAACCGACTCAAACCCAAGTTGCCTATGACGAATCTTTTCTGGGGCCCGAAGCGGGCTCTGTCGTTAATGAAATCAATCGTCACCCAGTTCTGGAACATCAAGCTGGAAAGTGCAAGTTCCTACGGACATGTTCTCTTGCAGTCAAAGGAGCTTAGATCACCCAATGCGACCCCCCATCTAGGATCATCTAGGCTGTGGGATGCGGACTGGGGCACTGGGGCACATCCTACTGCAAGCAACTGCAAGTATCCTACTATCTGACATCACATCTGGAAGTCGGGTTGCGCGACTGACACGGTACACATCTTGGCACGCCAATGCAAAGGCGACGCTGCTTGCAACCATCAAAGAGCGCATTGCAGCCATGTCAACCTTGGTCCACCAACATCAAGCAAGTTGCCCCAGATTGCCCCAGGCATCTCAGAGTTGAAATCACATTGCAAAAGACAAATGTTTCACATTGAGGTCAGAGCGATACTGCGGGCTTCAGCTTTGCTGGGTCTGCTTGCCAATACAGTTGATCTTTCAAACTTGCAACAGAAAGCACAGCGCATCAAACTCACCCTATTTGCATCTATTTGTCTTGATGACCAGTCTCCTGACCAACTGAATGCCCATTGAAACTCTCCCTAAAAGATGTGACTGTTAAGTGTCAAGCATTGCAACAGGTGGCCCAGCTGTCTGCATGACTCTGGTCAAACGCTTCTGCAACCTCCTCCCCTGCATGCTCATGATTTTCCAGCTGCACAACCAACCCTCCGTAAAAATCACAAGAAGTGGTTGTTTCTACAGTAACGGAAAGGGATAGGCGATAGGCGTTTGGATTGAGAGACCTTCTACAAAACACTGCAACCATCGGCATGTCATAGGAAAGACCAGCCGACCAGTCTCACTATCCTAAAGTCCTTGTCGGCAAGGTTCCTCTCCCAACTGCTCAAGCTCTACCCCCTGTCATTTTCCGCTCTCCGACATTTGGCCGAAAAGAACATGTTCTGGCCGTTCCCATCTTGAAGGATCATCATGAATCCCACAGAGGCACAACACAGTCCGGCAGGAAGCTCTTTGTCCACAAAGGAAGCTTGGAACCAGGCCAACAATTTCATACATAAATCATCACAAATCGTCATTCATATTCACCCCCACAAATCCTGAGGAAACAACTTCCCACAAAATGCAGTACCTGGTGAAGATCTTCAACACCAGGCCAACGCAAAAACAGAGAAAGGGCGTGGTGTCAAGGAGGTTCCTGTGTAGGTGGCAACCATTGAATCGGAGAACAATGCTCTGTGATTCGTTTGATCTGTGATCCCTTTGGTGATCCCTTTGGAAAATTCTCGGAATTCTCTGGAAATCACCCCTCCTGGGAACCTCCTGTGTGCCAAGCTCTAGCCAGACTGGCTGGCAAAGTACACGTGCGGCAGCTGCATACACCTCAGTCAACCTCAACAGCACAGCTCGTGAGGCCCGAGTTGTTCCAACCTGTGCTTGCGAGCCACTTGACGTAATTTCAATGGGGACAAAATTGGCCTTAGTTGTCTCGTCTGCCCGGAAAACACGGATCTTATACACAGAACATGTCGAAATTGGTCAAGTTCTCAGACCAGTACTTTTCTTTCCTGGAGGAGGATATGGGGACATTGACCGAAAGCAGCAACATGGGAGTCACGGGCAACACTGTCTATGAATTCTGGTTTTGTTGGTTCACGACCCAGCCTGGCAACGGGAGCATTCGACTCCAGCACGGCGTCACTGCCTTTTAGCACTCCTCCTGGCAAGCTGAGAGACGGATCAAAAAAGAACGATAGCAATACATAGACTTTGTTGATGGGTTAGATACAACTGATTTTTCACCTGGAACAATTAATTTCATCAGGCAACGAGGACATCGAAATACTCTAGATTGACACTTGAAGGCTTCAAGGTATCATAAAATTTATGCCATACAGAGATTGACTATATTGTCCTGGCTTGGGGGGCTAATAGCCTACCCCAAGAATTTGAAGACATGTGTTGCGTTCGCTCAATAGAGGTTTCACGCTGGACACATCTAGTACGTTTATCTGTCATACCGACCCAGCTTTTCAGCCGAGCTTCATGCTGGCGCTGCTGTTCCCACAACAACTGGTGGGGCGCCCTGCTTCACCCACGGATCATCAAGCTTGGCTTTGCAGCACTGGCAGCAAACGCAGCAAGCCAGGCTGGCTCCCACAATGCCCAGGACACAGGCTGCCCAACCGAACACCACCATGTAGACGAAAACAATGCCAAGGGTTTGGCAAGCACTGGCCCAGATCTGACATGCAGCTTCAGTCTTGAAGTCTTCAGCATTGAATCAATACCTAGTGTCCCATTGCTGCAATACATTTCAATACTGTTTCCTGGCTGCCTACAATCAAGAGTTGCACTGTTACATGCTGCATCCGTACCTGCTACCTTCAGTGACGAAAGTTTCGGCAAACTTTGACCACCAAGTCTTAGGTTTGCCAGCGCCACTACCAAACTGCTTTCACCCCAGATCCCCCCCGAGGTTCCCACAGAAAAGGTGACAAGACACCTTCTTTTCCTCATCTGTGCATGGAGTGCAAGCATCGTTGCATGCTGCATCCACGAAGGGCACGCACGAGCCCAGTGCTCCAAAGAGCGGAATGACCAAAGCCAGCACCCCCATAACGATGCCAATGGCACCAAGCACCTACGCGGCTGGCAGCTGATTCGAGATCAAAACACGTTGCCTCTCAGCCACGCAATCATCAAAAACAACTGACACCTACGGTCCGACCCACGAGGTAGCCCCAGAAATCTTGCCCGCCTTGCCGTACTGCTTCAAGACACCACAGCACAAAGGCAGTGACATCAGGACGATCACCAGGACTCCCACTACCATACCGCCAATGGAACCGCCCCACAGCGATGCAGCATACGCATCCTCAGGGTGACCATCACTGTGGAATGCAGTGTCTACAGCCATGGATGGTGCAGCTCCAACATGGAAAGTTGCATTGGGACTCTTGGTGCTTATGGGGAATCTTTCCTGGGATCCAAAGAGGGCTCTGTCATTAATGAAATCAGACGTCACCCAGTTCGAGAAGATCAAGCTGGAAAATGCAAGCTCCTACAGACATGCACCCTTGCAGCTTAAGCAGCTTAGCTCACCCAGTGCGACCCCCCATCTAGGATCATCTAGGCTGTGGGATACGGACTGCGGCACCGGGGCACATCCTACTGCAAGCAACTGCAAGTGTCCTACTATCTGACCTCACATCTGGAAGTCGGGTTGCCTGATCGAAACCGTTCAAATCTTCGCACGCCAATGCAAAAGCCACGCTGCTGGCAACCATCAAAGAGCGCATTGCAGCCATGTCAACCTTGGTCCACCAACATCAACCAAGTTACCCAAGGCCGTTCACAGCCAAAATCACATTGTAAATGACAAGCGACATGCTGCAAAACTGCAAAGTCTACCTCCATCCTGTCATTGGATGCGCAGCACCCGTTTCAAAAACACACACAATTTTCCATTGAGGTCAGTGCGATGTCGGTGAGTTTGGGTTCGCTGGGTCTGCTGGCAAACACAGTTGATCGGTCAAATTTTGCTGAAGAGATCAGGCAATATCACGCTCACCCTGTTTCTATCTAGTTGATTCTATTTGTCTTGAAGAGACAGCTGATGACCAATGTAAAGCATTGCAAGAGGCAGCTCGGGTTAGCAAGCAGGTTTCTTGCTCATTCCTCCCAGTTGTCTGCGTGACTGTACGCAAAGGCTTCTGTTAAATCTCCTCCCTTTCATATGACTTTCCAGCTATCTGCGATGGCAACCTTCCGCAAAATCACAAGAAGTGGTTGCTTCAAAGGGATCTGGATAAGCTTGTTTGGAAACATCATACAAAATACAGTAGAGACTAGTGACTAGTAGAGACCTTCTACAAGTTTGAAACACACTGCAGTAATCTGCAGTATCAACAAATTCCTGCAAGACACGGGAGCGACAAGTCAATGAGTCTCACTATTAGAGTCCGCAAAGAGCACCGACTGCTCCAATTCCGCTGTCATTTTCGGCCCTCTGATGTTTGGCAGAAATCTTCGAGCTCCATTGCAGCTCCATCTTGCAGGATCATCAAGAATCCCGCACAGTCCAGGAAGCTCTTTGTCCACTGAAACTTGGAAACAGGCCAGTAGTTTCATACTTGAGTCATTCACCAATATCAATCACCACAAATTCAGAATTGGGACAATAGCTTTTGGTAGCTTTTTGAGGACAAAAAACTTCCGACAAATTTCAGCACCTGGTCGTTTGACCAGGCCGAGGCAAAAACAGAGAAAGTGCGTGGTGTCAAGGGGGTTCCTGTGTAGGTGGTGGTGGAGTTTCGCCACTGAACCTGAGAGCAATGCCTCGTGATTCGTGTGATCCCTTGAGGAATTCTCGTTCAAAGCCCCTCCTTGGAACCTCCTTCGTGCCAAGCTGATTGGTAAAGTACACATGCGATACGCGGCAAGCGCAGCATCTGGCTCAGTCAACCTCAGCACGGTGAGGCAAGCATTGTTCCAAGCAACGGTGGCAACAAACATCAACAAACCACTTGATGCAATTTCAATGCGGACACGATGGCCATAGTTTAAGCCATAGTTGTCTTGTCTGCCTGGATGAAAAAATGATCGAAATATGTCAAAACTGAGTCGAGTTCTTAGACCATCAGACCATCACTTGGGTTTTTTTTTCCCTCGAGCATCTTCGGGGGGATCTGGGTGATGCTCAGCACTCCTAGTCCTGATAGACAGGGGGAGCTTGGAAGTTCATCTGCCATCTGCCAGTCCAAGTATTCATGGGGATATACTATACATGTCACACTGTGCCTCACTTCGGTTGCCACCGGGACACTGTCTGGCTGTCGACAAGCAGACAAGCCTGATGGGAAATTGTCCATGCTGGTCATCATGTTGGGGGTGCCCATCCTTCTGGATAGAGACAGCAAACCCAATCCCTTTCTTCGGTTGGTGTTTGTGGCTCTTGTTGCTTCTGTATCCTTTTCGCTTTGATGGACTTCATAGGCCTAAGTACGCCTGGATGCTCCATGACCCCTTGGGTTGAACTGCAGATAGATAAAGACAGCAAACCTCTCAAAGAAACTGTGCTGCACTGCAGGAACAGGTAACACACAACGATAGGCCTGGATCATTCATGGGTGGTGTAGATTGGTGTACCTATACCTACATTGACGCACATTGACCCAAACATCTCCATATATCTAAATTCGCAATGCTGCAATGCTATCTAATCTATGTCGAGTTTTATTGGTTCACGTCCCAGCCTGGCGGAGCCTTGGACTCGCAGCGTTGCGGCATTTCGCGCTCCTCCTGGCATGCTGCCGGCTAGACACCAGAGGCACACAGGATGGTGATCAAAATTCACATATGCCCCAAGCCACTATCCTCCGATCTTCAAGTCCCAACTATTGGCTTTGGGGGCAAAGAACATCAAATAACCCTCCTCACACCAAAAACAACGAACTTGCAGTCATCCACTATGTCTCAATGAATTCAACCTTGCAATCAGGATCTGGGTAGCTTTGAAGACACATGTTGCGCTCAAATAGAGGTTTCACGCTGGACACATCTAGTACGTTTATCTGTCATACCGACCCAGCTTTTCAGCCGAGCTTCATGCTGGCGCTGCTGTTCCCACAACAACTGGTGGGGCGCCCTGCTTCACCCACGGATCATCAAGCTTGGCTTTGCAGCACTGGCAGCAAACGCAGCAAGCCAGGCTGGCTCCCACAATGCCCAGGACACAGGCTGCCCAACCGAACACCACCATGTAGACGAAAACAATGCCAAGGGTTTGGCAAGCACTGGCCCAGATCTGACATGCAGCTTCAGTCTTGAAGTCTTCAGCTTTGAATCAATACCTAGTGTCCCATTGCTGCAATACATTTCAATACCGTTTCCTGGCTGCCTACAATCAAGAGTTGCACTGTTACATGCTGCATCCGTACCTGCTACCTTCAGTGACGAAAGCTTCGGCAAACTTTGACCACCAAGTCTTAGGTTTGCCAGCGCCACTACCAAACTGCTTTCACCCCAGATCCCCCCCGAGGTCCCCACAGAAAAGGTGACAAGACACCTTCTTTTCCTCATCTGTGCACGGAGTGCAAGCATCGTTGCATGCTGCATCCACGAAGGGCACGCACGAGCCCAGTGCTCCAAAGAGCGGAATGACCAAAGCCAGCACCCCCATAACGATGCCAATGGCACCAATCACCTACTCGGCTGGCGGCTGATTCGAAGCATCTTTCACAAGTGCAGCCACGCAATCATCAAAAACAACTGACACCTACGGTCCGACCCACGAGGTAGCCCCAGAAATCTTGCCCGCCTTGCCGTACTGCTTCAAGACACCACAGCACAAAGGCAGTGACATCAGGACGATCACCAGGATTCCCACTACCATACCGCCAATGGAACCGCCCCACAGCGATGCAGCATACGCATCCTCAGGGTGCTACATAGTGCTACCATCACTGTGGAATGCAGTGTCTACAGCCATGGATGGTGCAGCTCCAACATGGAAAGTGGCATTGGGACTCTTGGTGCTTATGGGGAATCTTTCCTGGGATCCAAAGAGGGCTCTGTCATTAATGAAATCAGACGTCACCCAGTTCGGGAAGATCAAGCTGGAAAATGCAAGCTCCTACAGACATGCACCCCTGCAGCTTAAGCAGCTTAGCTCACCCAGTGCGACCCCCCATCTAGGATCATCTAGGCCCTGGGATACGGACTGCGGCACCGGGGCACATCCTACTGCAAGCAACTGCAAGTGTCCTACTATCTGACCTCACATCTGGAAGTCGGGTTGCCTGATCGAAACCGTTCAAATCTTCGCACGCCAATGCAAAAGCCACGCTGCTGGCAACCATCAAAGAGCGCATTGCAACCATGTCAACCTTGGTCCACCAACATCAACCAAGTTACCCAAGGCCGTTCACAGCCAAAATCACATTGTAAATGACAAGCGACATGCTGCAAAACTGCAAAGTCTACCTCCATCCTGTCATTGGATGCGCAGCACCCGTTTCAAAAACACACACAATTTTCCATTGAGGTCAGTGCGATGTCGGTGAGTTTGGGTTCGCTGGGTCTGCTGGCAAACACAGTTGATCGGTCAAATTTTGCTGAAGAGATCAGGCAATATCACGCTCACCCTGTTTCTATCTAGTTGATTCTATTTGTCTTGAAGAGACAGCTGATGACCAATGTAAAGCATTGCAAAAGGCAGCTTGGGTTAGCAAGCAGGTTTCTTGCTCATTCCTCCCAGTTGTCTGCGTGACTGTACGCAAAGGCTTCTGTTAAATCTCCTCCCTTTCATATGACTTTCCAGCTATCTGCGATGGCAACCTTCCGCAAAATCACAAGAAGTGGTTGCTTCAAAGGGATCTGGATAAGCTTGTTTGGAAACATCATACAAAATACAGTAGAGACTAGTGACTAGTAGAGACCTTCTACAAGTTTGAAACACACTGCAGTAATCTGCAGTATCAACAAATTCCTGCAAGACACAGGAGCGACAAGTCAATGAGTCTCACTATTAGAGCCCGCAAAGAGCACCGACTGCTCCAATTCCGCTGTCATTTTCGGCCCTCTGATGTTTGGCAGAAATTTTCGAGCTCCATTGCAGCTCCATCTTGCAGGATCATCAAGAATCCCGCACAGTCCAGGAAGCTCTTTGTCCACTGAAACTTGGAAACAGGCCAGTAGTTTCATACACGAATCATCATGAATCATTAAGTCATTCACCAATATCAATTACCACAAATTCAGAATTGGGACAATAGCTTTTGGTAGCTTTTTGAGGACAAAAAACTTCCGACAAATTTCAGCACCTGGTCGTTTGACCAGGCCGAGGCAAAAACAGAGAAAGTGCGTGGTGTCAAGGGGGTTCCTGTGTAGGTGGTGGTGGAGTTTCGCCACTGAACCTGAGAGCAATGCCTCGTGATTCGTGTGATCCCTTGAGGAATTCTCGTTCAAAGCCCCTCCTTGGAACCTCCTTCGTGCCAAGCTGATTGGTAAAGTACACATGCGATACGCGGCATGCGCAGCATCTGGCTCAGTCAACCTCAGCACGGTGAGGCAAGCATTGTTCCAAGCTACGGTGGCAACAAACATCAACAAACCACTTGATGCAATTTCAATGCGGACACGATGGCCATAGTTTAAGCCATAGTTGTCTTGTCTGCCTGGATGAAAAAATGATCGAAATATGTCAAAACTGAGTCGAGTTCTTAGACCATCAGACCATCACTTGGGTTTTTTTTTCCCTCGAGCATCTTCGGGGGGATCTGGGTGATGCTCAGCACTCCTAGTCCTGATAGACAGGGGGAGCTTGGAAGTTCATCTGCCATCTGCCAGTCCAAGTATTCATGGGGATATACTATACATGTCACACTGTGCCTCACTTCGGTTGCCACCGGGACACTGTCTGGCTGTCGACAAGCCGACAAGCCTGATGGGAAATTGTCCATGCTGGTCATCATGTTGGGGGTACCCATCCTTCTGGATAGAGACAGCAAACCCAATCCCTTTCTTCGGTTGGTGTTTGTGGCTCTTGTTGCTTCTGTATCCTTTTCGCTTTGATGGACTTCATAGGCCTAAGTACGCCTGGATGCTCCATGACCCCTTGGGTTGAACTGCAGATAGATAAAGACAGCAAACCTCTCAAAGAAACTGTGCTGCACTGCAGGAACACGTAACACACAACGATAGGCCTGGATCATTCATGTATGGTGTAGATTGGTGTACCTATACCTACATTGACGCACATTGACCCAAACATCTCCATATATCTAAGTTCGCAATGCTGCAATGCTATCTAATCTATCTATGAATTCAAGTTTTATTGGTTGCTTTAGCCCGGCGGAGCCTTTGACTCAGGGCATTGCGGCATTTCGCGCTCCTCCTGGCATGCTGCCGGCTAGACACCAGAGGCACACAGGATGGTGATCAAAATTCACATATGCCCCAAGCCACTATCCTCCAATCTTCAAGTCCCAACTATTGGCTTTGGGGGCAAAGAACATCAAATAACCCTCCTCACACCAAAAACAACGAACTTGCAGTCATCCACTATGTCTCAATGAATTCAACCTTGCAATCAGGATCTGGGTAGCTTTGAAGACACATGTTGCGCTCAAATAGAGGTTTCACGCTGGACACATCTAGTACGTTTATCTGTCATACCGACCCAGATTTTCAGCCGAGCTTCATGCTGGCGCTGCTGTTCCCACAACAACTGGTGGGGCGCCCTGCTTCACCCACGGATCATCAAGCTTGGCTTTGCAGCACTGGCAGCAAACGCAGCAAGCCAGGCTGGCTCCCACAATGCCCAGGACACAGGCTGCCCAACCGAACACCACCATGTAGACGAAAACAATGCCAAGGGTTTGGCAAGCACTGGCCCAGATCTGACATGCAGCTTCAGTCTTGAAGTCTTCAGCATTGAATCAATACCTAGTGTCCCATTGCTGCAATACATTTCAATACTGTTTCCTGGCTGCCTACAATCAAGAGTTGCACTGTTACATGCTGCATCCGTACCTGCTACCTTCAGTGACGAAAGTTTCGGCAAACTTTGACCACCAAGTCTTAGGTTTGCCAGCGCCACTACCAAACTGCTTTCACCCCAGATCCCCCCCGAGGTTCCCACAGAAAAGGTGACAAGACACCTTCTTTTCCTCATCTGTGCATGGAGTGCAAGCATCGTTGCATGCTGCATCCACGAAGGGCACGCACGAGCCCAGTGCTCCAAAGAGCGGAATGACCAAAGCCAGCACCCCCATAACGATGCCAATGGCACCAATCACCTACTCGGCTGGCGGCTGATTCGAAGCATCTTTCACAAGTGCAGCCACGCAATCATCAAAAACAACTGACACCTACGGTCCGACCCACGAGGTAGCCCCAGAAATCTTGCCCGCCTTGCCGTACTGCTTCAAGACACCACAGCACAAAGGCAGTGACATCAGGACGATCACCAGGATTCCCACTACCATACCGCCAATGGAACCGCCCCACAGCGATGCAGCATACGCATCCTCAGGGTGCTACATAGTGCTACCATCACTGTGGAATGCAGTGTCTACAGCCATGGATGGTGCAGCTCCAACATGGAAAGTGGCATTGGGACTCTTGGTGCTTATGGGGAATCTTTCCTGGGATCCAAAGAGGGCTCTGTCATTAATGAAATCAGACGTCACCCAGTTCGGGAAGATCAAGCTGGAAAATGCAAGCTCCTACAGACATGCACCCCTGCAGCTTAAGCAGCTTAGCTCACCCAGTGCGACCCCCCATCTAGGATCATCTAGGCCCTGGGATACGGACTGCGGCACCGGGGCACATCCTACTGCAAGCAACTGCAAGTGTCCTACTATCTGACCTCACATCTGGAAGTCGGGTTGCCTGATCGAAACCGTTCAAATCTTCGCACGCCAATGCAAAAGCCACGCTGCTGGCAACCATCAAAGAGCGCATTGCAACCATGTCAACCTTGGTCCACCAACATCAACCAAGTTACCCAAGGCCGTTCACAGCCAAAATCACATTGTAAATGACAAGCGACATGCTGCAAAACTGCAAAGTCTACCTCCATCCTGTCATTGGATGCGCAGCACCCATTTCAAAAACACACACAATTTTCCATTGAGGTCAGTGCGATGTCGGTGAGTTTGGGTTCGCTGGGTCTGCTGGCAAACACAGTTGATCGGTCAAATTTTGCTGAAGAGATCAGGCAATATCACGCTCACCCTGTTTCTATCTAGTTGATTCTATTTGTCTTGAAGAGACAGCTGATGACCAATGTAAAGCATTGCAAAAGGCAGCTTGGGTTAGCAAGCAGGTTTCTTGCTCATTCCTCCCAGTTGTCTGCGTGACTGTACGCAAAGGCTTCTGTTAAATCTCCTCCCTTTCATATGACTTTCCAGCTATCTGCGATGGCAACCTTCCGCAAAATCACAAGAAGTGGTTGCTTCAAAGGGATCTGGATAAGCTTGTTTGGAAACATCATACAAAATACAGTAGAGACTAGTGACTAGTAGAGACCTTCTACAAGTTTGAAACACACTGCAGTAATCTGCAGTATCAACAAATTCCTGCAAGACACAGGAGCGACAAGTCAATGAGTCTCACTATTAGAGCCCGCAAAGAGCACCGACTGCTCCAATTCCGCTGTCATTTTCGGCCCTCTGATGTTTGGCAGAAATTTTCGAGCTCCATTGCAGCTCCATCTTGCAGGATCATCAAGAATCCCGCACAGTCCAGGAAGCTCTTTGTCCACTGAAACTTGGAAACAGGCCAGTAGTTTCATACACGAATCATCATGAATCATTAAGTCATTCACCAATATCAATTACCACAAATTCAGAATTGGGACAATAGCTTTTGGTAGCTTTTTGAGGACAAAAAACTTCCGACAAATTTCAGCACCTGGTCGTTTGACCAGGCCGAGGCAAAAACAGAGAAAGTGCGTGGTGTCAAGGGGGTTCCTGTGTAGGTGGTGGTGGAGTTTCGCCACTGAACCTGAGAGCAATGCCTCGTGATTCGTGTGATCCCTTGAGGAATTCTCGTTCAAAGCCCCTCCTTGGAACCTCCTTCGTGCCAAGCTGATTAGCAAAGTACACATGCGATACGCGGCATGCGCAGCATCTGGCTCAGTCAACCTCAGCACAGTGAGGCAAGCATTGTTCCAAGCTACGGTGGCAACAAACATCAACAAACCACTTGATGCAATTTCAATGCGGACACGATGGCCATAGTTTAAGCCATAGTTGTCTTGTCTGCCTGGATGAAAAAATGATCGAAATATGTCGAAACTGAGTCGAGTTCTTAGACCATCAGACCATCACTTGGGTTTTTTTTTCCCTCGAGCATCTTCGGGGGGATCTGGGTG